CAAAGCAAAAGCAAGTTAACCCTTTAGAAATAAAATAGAGGGCACTGTTACAGGTATGGTTATACATGATGTGAAGCATATATATACTGTATATATATATAGAATATAAAATTGTGTATCAAAATAATGCCCTTCACTTTGTAGAGAGTCTTATTCTACTGAAGAGTACATTGCTCTGTAACCAGTGCGATTCAGACAGGGCTCTGTGTAACCCTCTGCAGGCTGAATTGCAGAGGCGTTCTAGCAATTTTCATAGCTCCAGAGCCCTAGTTTTATCTCTGCCTCTGACTGGACAATGAGCAATAAGCTGGGAAGTTTCAAAAAGGATGCTTCCTACAATATGGAATATTTTGAAATGTATCTATGGTTTCTGTATTTATATGAATCATACAAGTATAGAGTATCTTTAACCTTAATTCAAGAAAAAATATGTGTGCAAGATACTGCTGTATAAGTCTGGGAAACTTATATTACAGCCATTCTAAGTTCTAGTTGTTTGTAATGATGAACACTTACAAGCCTCTGCTTGTAAAATGTACTGGAAAATGGGGGGGGGGGGAAACAAGGGTTAAATATAAGAATCGCCAAGATGCAAAGGAAAGAGGAGAACTGGGATTACCTGATTTTAAATTGTATTTTGCTGCCTACTGTTTGGTTTGAATGAAGGAGTGGCTGTTGTTAAGAAATAAGAGAATTTTAGATTTAGATGGTCAAGGTCTGAGGTTTGGGTGGCATGGTTACTTATTGTATGATAAAGTCAAAGTAAATGTAGATTTTAAAGATCAGTATATTAGGAATACCATACTATGAATATGGAATAGATACAAACCCAGGCTATGTCCCAAAATACCTTTGTTGGCCTCAGCTCAAGAAGTGTTTTATAGAAAAGAAACAGTGGGCAAAGATAAATGGTTAAGTTATAAAGACTTGCTAGCACAGGAAAATGGGGAGCTTAAGATTAAATCAAGAGAACAATTGACTGCAAAGAGATTTAGTTTTCAATGGTTTTCATATGCACAATTAAGAGAAAGATTTAATATAGTTAAAAAAAATACCAGGAACAGAATGTAATAAAACGGAATTTGAAAACAAATTATGTACAACTGATGAACTTGTGATTGGAAAAATGTATAAACTTTTACATAAACTTCTAATCACTGTTTGAAATGTGAAAAACATGAAGGGACATTTTATCATGCATGGTAGACTTGTGAAAAAGTGAAAAGATACTGGATACAAATACATATGGTGATGCTGAGAGTTTTAAAAATTAACATTCAGATGAAACCAGAACTTTTCTTATTAGTACTTATGGGCACTCAACTCGAAAAGGCTCATGGACGATTGGTTTTATATATGGGAATTGCAGCAAGGCTATTATATGCACGAAGATGGACAAATACAGAAACACCAATAATGGAGGAATGGATTTTTTTTAATAAAAATGTTTTATTGCTTTTTAGTTAATAACAAAAAAGAAAAAGAAAACACAAAAACAATAATACACTACCAAGAAGAAGAAAAAAACGTTAAAAAGTATATTATTTTTGTGCTTTCTTTTTCTTTTTTTGTGACAAAAATACAACAAAGGAAATAAAAATTTGGCATAGTATATAATTATAACAGTAAAGAGTTACAAATCTATATATATTTATCTAATGCAAATATTATTCAGATGCATACATATTCCCAATACATTTACGTGACTATCATTTTTTTTAACCTACTGTATTTTGTTTAAATGAGTCCCATATTCCATTATACTCGTCCATACAAAGTGTACGTCTATAGGCAATCCACTCATAAGTGGCAAGTGCAATCAGGTTCAAGCCATTGACGAAATGGGACCATACATTTATCTTTCCAATGCTGCAATATCAGTCTTTTGGCCATAGTAAGGGCATGGAGAATCCATTTTCGTTGTCCAGATGTCACATTCCATGTACTAGATATATAGTTCAAAAGAACATTATCCTCTGAAAATTTTAGCTTTTGTCGCATAATCATATTTATATAGTCCACTACTTTCTCCAAAACTTAATAAATATAGGACATTGTAAAAACATATGCTTTAAAGAGGCATTGTCCTAAGGACTTTTTTTTTTTTTTTTTGTCGTTTTGCTTTGGGGAAAAGGGGGGGATTGGGGGGGAAAAGGACTTTTTTTTTTTTTTTTTGTTGTTGTATCAGTCGTAGTTTAAGGTCCATGTACTAGATATATAGTTCAAAAGAACATTATCCTCTGAAAATTTTAGCTTTTGTCGCATAATCATATTTATATAGTCCACTACTTTCTCCAAAACTTAATAAATATAGGACATTGTAAAAACATATGCTTTAAAGAGGCATTGTCCTTATTACATCTCCAACAAAATGCTATTTTTGACAATCCTTTTCTGTGCAAATGTAGTAGAGTCCACTAAATTCTAAATACTTTTTTTGTTGTTGTATAAGTCGTAGTTTAAGGTCCATTGACACTCTTGCTATAGAAGTTAAGACACTCTCCCATTGTCTAGGCAATATAGAAACCTCTAATTCTTTGTTCCAGTCATCACTTAGCATCTGCATATCAAATTGATTTATTGATAACAAATATCTTCTAAAACCTAATAGGTTTTTTTAGTTCTAAAGGATTTAAGTTGTTCTAGTACCTCGGATGTCTCGGAAGCTGAAAATGCTGCTGGTTCAAACAATGTTTTTAACAAATACTGTAGCTATAGATACTGCCATTGGGATACATCTGATAGTTGATATTTATCTTTTAACACAGCATATGTTAAAAATTCATCTTCATCATCTACCATTTAGTCCAGAGTCAATATCCCTGCTTCCATCCAACTTTTCCATATCATCATCTTTTTCCCAATTTTTAATATTGGGTTTCCCATACAGTCAATTTAGCATGGGAAAAAAGCTTGAACAAATCTTTTTTTAATTAGATATTACATTCTTTCTAGCTTTCTAACTGACAAAATTGTTTCCAGAGATATTAGAGTTTTAGTATATTTCTATTCTAATACTGTCCTTTTGACCAAAGGTGTTATATGTGTATATTCCAATGTTGCTCAAATTGGAAAATTAACACCAATTGTTGGCTTCCAGTATTTAATACTTGGCAATAGATAAAGTTGATGATATAGCTCCAAATTCAGAAAACCGAATCCTCCCTCATTAATTGATAGTTGCATTTTCTGTAAAGATATTCTCAGAATCGAAGGACCCATAAAAAAGTTTCTAAACAAAGAATTTATTTTCTGAAAATATTTATGGAGGTATGGATTGTGAAGATGGCTGAGTTTGCAGAAATGGCTAAATTGACTTGTTTGATCAAGAGGGAACTACAATTACTTTTATAAAAGACTGGAAACCCTTTAGAGACTTTTTGCTGAAAATGGATAAAAATGAACTGCTGAGTTCAGGATTTATTGACTAAAAAGGTTTGTTTATGGGAAGAAAGAAACTGTAATACACAATATGGGAGGATGGAGATGGTAATTACCATGTTTGTAACTGCTGTGAAGAAGATTGGAAGTAGCATCTTTAGATATTTTTCTCTTTCTTTTCGTTATTCACTTTTTCTTTTACACTTTTATAATCTTTTTCTATTTCTTCTATGTTTTTGTAGTTTTTTAAATCTTTGTAAAATCTTCTTTTAATAAAATTATTTTTAAAAAATAAAATGCTCTGTAAAGTTAGATCCAGTCTCTAGCCTATTACCGGGGTGTTCCTGCTCATCTGTAAAGCAGTGGATTGTTGCAGATTTGAAAGTCCTATCTCTGAGGAAAATGAAACATGTAATTTGAGCATCTGTAAATATTTCTAGAATACCACAAATGAGTTCATCGTAGGAAGGACTGGTGAATTAAGAGACATTGTTTCCTTCCGATGTCAGCATTAAAAGCCAGACACAAAGAGGTCAGTTATGCCCCAGGAGAACATTTTTGAGAAATATGAATGTTAGGTTTGCATTGTGGTATTCAAATTTTTTTTTAAACTTCACTGCAATAATACAACACATTTCCTGCCAGACATCTGGAATATGATGATGCAATGAGAGATTTTCCAAACAACGATGAACATACGGCATTAGGAATATGTGTGTCATTTAGGGAATAACAATGTTGGATTAACTTTAAGTTTTTATTTACAAAAGCAGATTGAGA